CCCAATCGCGATTACCGAGTTGTTTGGTCCTATAAAACATCGTCTATGTATTTTCTTTGAGTTTGGTTGAATTTTCTATTATTATTATTATTATTATTATTATTATTATCATTATTATTATTATTATTATTATTACTATTATTATTATTATTATTATTGTTATTTATTACTTCAATCAATTGTCGGGTTTTAATATTATCTATTCTGTTAATGACAACTCGAGACATTTCAATTGTTGTTTACTTCATGTTTTTAATCCAACTATGTGAAGTATATAAAACCGTTTACACGTTGCAGTTATGAACGTGTACACATTCTTGTTTAGTATAAGTTTAGTTAAATGTGGTTAATATCCACATTTTGAGACATTCTAAAACACTAATTATCGATGATCGGGATAATGTGCCAGAGACCTAATACGAGGTGAACCGACTACTGCAAAAATCCGATCACTCTTGAACCGCTGATGATTTGCAAAATAAAGGGGAACAAAAAGGACTTGAGTTTAGTATGAAGGTTGCTCTTAGAGTAGCAAAAGGACTTGCATACCTCCATAGCCCTGCTGCTAAAGTTATATACTGCGATTTCAATTCCTCCAATATTTTGCTTGATTCGGTACACTTTAGAATTATTATAATTCAGTTGGATTATTGGCAAATTCTTGTTCATTTTTCGCTCGCGTTACGTACTTTTGATGATGTGGGCTAATTACACAACATTATAATGTGAAGCTGTCTGATTTTGGGTTGGCTAATGGGCCCATTTATGGTAAAAGCCACGTATCGACGATAATTATGGGTACCTATGGCTACGCAGCTCCAGGGTATATGGCCACATGTATATGAAAATATTTTCATAAAGTCGAGCTCTTGACTTTGAAAGTGCAATTATTTTGCTTATAAAACGTATTATTTGCAGGGCACTTAACTGCCAGAAATGACGTGTACAGTTTTGGTGTAGTTCTCCTTGAGATTCTCACGGGGCGACAAGTACTGATAAAAACCGACCGTACGGAAAACAGAATCTCATCGAGTGGGCCTGGCCACACTTAACCAACAAAAGCAAACTACTTCGAGCGATGGATTGGTGCATAGAAGGCCAGCATTCACAGACTGCGGCATAAAAGCTTCAACACTTGTTGTGAAATGCCTGGCTTTGGAGCCCAACTGTCGTCCCACAATGGTTGAGGTTGTTAAAGCTTTGGAGCAGCTTCAAGACTCGGGGAGTCTAAAATCAGAGAACGAGTTGCTGAAGATTTCGGAAGGACAACCGCTTTTTATCTGAGGCCTGCAACATAGGTGGAAAATTTGGATAATTTTGTAGTGAAAGCAAAATGTAGTGCATATTGGTTTGAAGGGATTCTGCACAGTTTCAATTTCTTTTTCAGTGACAAGCTTTGTTAACTTGATGCTGTATAAAAGTATGTAAGAATTTAATTATGCAGAGTATGAAGTTGCAAATGCCTTTCTAAATCCAACAGTTGAACCAAAAAATTTTATGTGGCGGGGTAAAAAATAGTTGAAGGAAGTTTTCAACAATATTGTACAAAATATTAATATCAACAATTTATAAGCCAGATGTTGTCAGTGCAATATGTGAGACTCCAATCTGGTTGTGTTGACAAGCTGGGTCAGTTGTCGGTCAATCAAATTGGATTGACTTTGGGGGCTTCGCTACACCACTAGCAACCAACGATATCTGTGCGGAGGCTGGGATGAACTGGCCTCGATGGGTTACGATCGGCGGTGGGACGTGTTGGCATCGTCATCGTAGGAACAACATATGAAGTAATTGTCTTCATCTCTATTGAAGGTCGAGATCTCCTTCAGTGAATCCTGAGGGTCGCAAAAACTGGGATATCATCGTCGGAGGAGGGATTTCCATCACGACCCCCTTCTCTCTTATGATCATTGAAGGGACAGATGAACTCGTCGAGCTAAGGGTTACCGATCGCCTTTAGGGCAGCGGAAAGGCGGATCCTTTATCACTCTATTGCAGAACTATAAAGAACAAGACCAGCCTTTCGATCTGGCTTGACCCGTGTACCAGAAACTCCCATTCTCACTTTGATCGGCTTTCCACCGGAGCCACAAAGGACTATCGAAATTGATTCGTTTCTGCCGATAAGCTCCAATTGCATCGCAAAAAATTTCAGCATTGTTTCGTATTTTCCCGTAATTTTTATAATAGGCACAATACTTTGATTTATCGTGGGCAAACGCCCTTTACGATCAGTCAGAGATTGGAAGGATTACTTTGTTCTTTTATCTCCTCATAGATATCGGCAACCCCAACAAAGTAAACTCTTTTGTAGCTGGACACTGCCACTTCCTGATGTTCTTGGGTAGCCTTTATACGGGCCAACCGAGATTCACGATCTTCAGGGCCCAGAGTGGTTGAGCCTCTTTGGATTTGGGGGTAGCCTTGGAGGCTCCAATTTAAGCACGGTAACCTGACTGAGGTGTTGATGAATTTTCGGTGAGTGTGTTCTCGGGCTATAGATATGACCCCGACAAGGATAACCTAATTTTGGTATCCTTTAATTTTTAGTTACAGACTTGAGGATTAAAATCCATTATTGAGTTTGGATGGTGAGAACTGAGAATGCTATGTTCAATAAGTTGATATTGAGAAAATGAATAATGGGCATTTTTTCGGTAAATAATGAAAAATTGTGGTACCATATCAATTTTTTAGTAATGGAACACGTATCGATTTGGTTTTGGTAGCCACAAATTGAAAACCAAATAGTTTGGTTTGATTCGGTAAATCAGATTTGGTTTGGTTACTGAACCCAACCCAACGCTATTGATAAGTGTTAGGTTTGTTCTAGCTGAGCATGGAGTTGGGACGAAGCCCCGTAGACGCTGTTGTTATGTGGTTATTAACAACGATGTAATTTATGATTAAGTGAATAAGTTGGAGGGATTTGAACGTAAAGCATGTAGGATTGAATCAACAATGGCCCCGGTCCGAGGTGAACCGAGGTGAAGAGCCGTGATGGGCTTTTACGTGTTGCTTACTAAAGTGTTTACAGTTCGGAAGTTCGTAGAAAAACCGAGAGAGCTTTACAATTGTCATAGGTCCGCTATTTATAGTAGTTTTGGGTTGAGGCATCGGGATCCGCGTACTACTTTTTGAATAAAGTGGCTTTTCATGGGCGGTTCGAGGCAGGGGGCCCCACGTAAATGATGACAGATCTTGTGGTGTAGGAGAGCTTCTCGTAGATGCCTTGTCACCTGCTTAAGGAGGTGACGACCTCGGTTCATGTTGTCCTCGGTGGGTGTTGATCTCGGTAATCGTCGGTCACTTCGGTCTTTGGTGGTTCAGACCGGTTCTATGGTGTAGATCGGTGCGGTTATGATTCATGTCGGTTTAACTGTTAATTGCATTTAATAAGATGCTCAAAACCTCTTAACAGCGTCTTGCCGAGTCGGATGATAACAGACGCCAAGACCAATAGCATCTCGGAGTGGCATGGTTCTATATTTTGAATTTAGGTATTAAACGAGACAATGTAGTCTTTCAAGATCTCGTCGGCCCTTTAGACAATGTTGGTGATCGGCTCCTTCGGGATCCTGCACATCTGGGAGCAGATAAAATGCATTCGGAAGGCCGATCGAACTTGTTCCCAGTTATAGATCAACCTCGAGGGTAAAGAATGGTACCACCGTTGGGCCTTTGGCCCCAAAGCGAGGGTGAAGGTGCGACATATAAAAGCATTACTAGCTCCATACAACTCCATCCAAGATGTGTATTGCCCCAAATGAGAACTTGAATTAGTGTTCCTATTGTAAATGTCGATCTGGGGAAATTTTATTTTTGTGGGCAGCAACTCGCCCAAAATATGAGACAAGGGGGAATTAAGATCTTATGGAAACTCAGAACGAAGAAGGAAAATGGGAGGGGATATCGGGAATAGGTCGGTGTGTCAACTCTGGAGTCTGTTGGGCAAGGCTTTAAGCTTTAATATCCACTGTTTTAGTCTGGCAATATCTTCAGCATCATATCAGAGGGTCCTCTTTGTGATTTGGTCGCGGAGTTCGCCGCGTCGGGAATTATTACCCAATCGCTCAAACACAGAAAGAATGCTCGAACTCATCTCAGCTCCAGATCGAGCCTGACTTTCACCCACTCCCTCGTGATGTTTATTTTGGTAGCCAACTTTATGCTTGTTCTATTTATTGGTCCTAGAAAGATCGTTAGAGTTGTCTTCCTAGGATGTTGACATTTGTGGTTGTGGAGGTTTGGGAATCTGCTTTTGGGAAGATGTACTATGGGGCATATTATAAACCATTTAAGTGAAGAGATCGATGTTGCACTTGACGAAGGTAGGATCATTGAAAATTTGGCTTATATCGGTGAGAGGAGAAGAATTATCCTCTCAATTATCTTGGCTATAAGTGTAGTTGTTGGACGAAGACATAACTTCAAAGTGGTTGTGAATGTGTACAGTAGAGTCCCCTCCCTTAGCCTTTGCATCCCTCAGGCTATTTTTACTCAAGTATTTCCCCTTAATCACTCTACTCATAAGCAGGTTGGGTTTGGTTAAGACTCTCCAAAGTTGTTTCATGATTAGGGCTTCATTAAATAGTTTGAGGTCTTTGAAACCTAACCCTCCCTTTTTTTTGGACCTAGTTGAGTTACCCCAAGTCCCCCAATGAATCTTATCAACTCCCTGAACAGATTTTCCCTACCAACAGTTAACAGAGTCCCTGCAAATAGTCTCACAAATAGTGGCATGCAGTAAAAAGCAGGACATCACATCACATAGGTGGGCAGAGCACCTATAACAGCTTTCAAAAGGACATCCTTACCTGCATCACTCAAGAACACATTCTTCCAGTTTAATATTCTAGATTTCACACTTTCACTCACAAAATGAAAAGTATCTTTTTTAGCTCTACCTCATATCCGACAACAGAGGGGGTGTTTTTAGAGAAAAACATTTATGACTTTTGGAGATTTGAGTCTTTCTTCTAGCGCCAATTTATTGATAACACCGAGTTACTCACTTCACATTTTGCTTTCCATATTAGTAAAATACTTCATGTCATTGATTGAACAATTGAACCTTGAAAGACCCATCTCTATCTCACTCCTCACCCTTTTTTCCCTCAAAAAAATCTTCAAAATTTCGAAATCTCTTGAAAAAATTATCACATTGGTCGATCATCCCCTCACATTTCAAACTCAAAAATCCGGAATTTTTGCTTTCGTTTCAATCCGGCATTGCAAATTTCTGCGTGGGAAATCGAATTGAAAATGAGCTCACAGAGATCCTCGAAACCCCCGAACCAAACGGCGGCCCCAAGAACATCTTCGTCCTCACTCGCCTCCCATCTGGCCATGGTGGAGCTGAAGCAGCGGATACTCACCTCCCTCTCCAAGCTCTCCGACCGCGACACCCACCAGATCGCCCTCGAGGACCTCGAGACCATCATCCTGTCCCTCTCCAGCGACGGCGTCCCCATGCTCCTCAACTGCCTCTACGACGCCGCCGCCGACCCCAAGCCCGCCGTCAAGAAGGAGGGCGTCCGCCTCCTGGCCGTCCTCTGCGCCGTCCACACTGA